GGGTATCTGATTCAGTGGCATATGTAGAATTTATTTCTAAGCAATTATCACCCTTATTCGGTTTCTGGCACATGGAAAACTTAGATTCTTTAAACAAAATGGAATAAACAGTCCAGGCGGACACTGTCGAAAATGGCCAGTACCATTTCTACAATGATAATAATATCCACAATAAACTGGAATACGGAAGGTTCCATCAAGAGGTTTCAGTTCGGAGTTAAGAGGACAAGAAAATGGAGGGCATTTGCATTCAACAAATGACAACACTGTTAAAATGTTAAAAATAGCATAAATGGTGTTTTTTTGTTCAGAAAAAACTAAACAAACAATAAATTACTTACACAATAAACTAAAAGTGAAAAGTTTCATGTTTCACCTTTAATGTTAAAATGAAAGAAAATTTTCCAATTTTATACTAATCCATGAGTTTTATCTAATTAATAAGAAATAGTAATCCTATCATTATCCATCAATCGATTGTGGATGTTGCATATTTTTATTTTCAGTTATTTTAGATAAACAAGGTAGGAAATTGGATAAGATAAGATTAGATCAAAGCTTGAGTAGTTCTGGAACTGATAGAAAAATAGAATATTTATTTTAAAACATTAAAACAAGGAAAAAGAAATTTTTTGAAATTTTTATGAGCTACTTATGAAAATTTTCTGTATATCCTTATATTTTGTATATTTTTTAATTTTTAATTAAATGTACATTTACAAAATTTTAATATTTTAGCTTCAAGCCATTTTTTTGGATGCAGTCCAGTCCTCTCTTCAGCAATGAGTTGTGAAGGGCAAATAAGTCTTTTTTCCATCTTTTGTTCAGTATTTCAACTTTTTCTTTGATACACTTCCACAAAATTTCCTTTTTGCTAAACTGTGATCATACACCATATTCTTTAGCAAATGCCATACATCCTCTGTGGGAGAGAGATCTAGGGAGTAAACTGGCCATGGTAAGACTGCGCACTTTCCAGTCTTGAAATATTTTAGGACAATTTTGGTCTTGTGGCAAGGAGCATTGTCCTGATGGAAAATGAAACCCTTCCTATATCTTTTTTTAGGAATGACATGACCTCTTTTTTCAAGAGAGCCAGGTACCATCCCTTTGTATATTTTTTTTCAATTCTAGAAATGAGCACTAAACCATCTGGTCCCATACATCCCCAGATCATGACTCTTCCACCACCCATTGATTGTTAACATCTTAAGTTTTCCCTTTCTGGATTAAACTGCCAGGTTTGGCAGCTATCTGGCCCATGAAAACTGAATCTACATTCATCAGAAATGATTACATTGTCCAAATTTATTTTATTTTCAAATCACCCTCAACAAATTTCCACTTGCTGAAGTCTATTTTTCTTCTTGAGAGGGGGGTGCTGAGAGATTTTTTTAAGTTTTCCTCCCATTTCTTTAAGGGCTTTTTTTGAATCATTGTTTTTGAAACAGTAAGGTTGCATTCATATGCCAGTTTTGTACTTGTAACCCTCTGTTTCTCTTTCTTCAGTTTGTTTATTCCCCTCTTCATGAGGGTTTTATCTCTAATTGACAGAGATTTTGGTCTCCCAACACCTCCACTCTTGGTTTTATTTGGTTTAATAATGTATTGTATGGAAGATTTTGGAATATTACAAATCTCTGAAATCTGCCCATAGATAAGCCTTCTTGGTTCTTCTCTTTAATTAAAGTCTTGATTTCTTGACCATAAGATACCTAATTTGTATGGTTTCACCTGGTCCGATAACAGTCATATTTGAATGATATCAATAATCTTCATTTTTGCTTTCTAGTGAAATTCAAAGTATTATCTTCAATAAAAGAAAAGTGATTTATAATCATAAAAAATTATTTAAAAGTCTAAAATTAGTTTTAAAAAAAAACAAATGATAAGTTATCATTGATATCATTTTCTGTGACTGTGTTGTTGATTTTCTAAATTATACCAAAGACAATTTATGTATTATCTTAACAAGTTTTGCACATCTTTTATTCACATGTAGCAGATGAACCTTGATGACAGTAAGTTTTGTATTCTGACTGCACACTTATCAAGTGTCATCTGCTACTAATTGGATACAAATAAACCTAAGATTATAACAAAAATACTTATAAAGTCACCCATTTGATAGCATAACCTGGGGTTGACAGAAAATGTCCACTGTTTGGAAACTTTGTGGTTACAGTTTAGATTGAAATTGGGCTTGGAAATTTAATGAACATTTGCTTTATTGTTAAGTGGGTTTGACTAAGAGCTGGATAAAACTTCAAATACATACACATTGTCTGTCGCGTCCACATAGTTTAATTCTAAACAGATTCACTAACAACTATTCTTTTTTGGATTTTATATGTAAAACATTAGGCCTCAGAGCAGAACTAAAATACTGATTGGCATAAAAACTAAAGCTGTTATTTATTGAAATTGAAGAAATAAGTAATAATAGATTTAGTAATTTACAATTACATCAGTTTTGAATAGCAAATATAGTGAATGAACTTGACATAGTCATATGTTCTAGACAACCTCTATACTTTATTTTGCAAATATCTCCTTCCTTTAACCTTAATAAAGCTGTTCTGGTTGATAATTCCGCTTCACCTGAATGTTTCATTACATGTTTCAACTTGAAAGCTACTTGATCATTTACTTCAACAATAAGTTCTGTTGTTCTTATAGCTACCAAGTTAACTTCTACAAAATAGGCTGCGTCTATGGGGGCTGTAAAATATCCTGTAGTATTCCATGAATTCAACGTATCCACCAGTACATTTTCAAACTGTAATCCTTGTATTCCAAATATTGGTCGACATTGACTCTGTCCCTGATGACTTTTAACTAGAAATACAGCTGGAAAAGAGCTATTTATTTTAAATGCAAGAAGATATGTCTCCAATTTAGAGCTTGTCACGTGATTACTTGCTGACAATTGTAAAACAGTATTTTCATGTAAGTCTTGTAGAAATCCTCTGGATGAAGGATATGCTGATTGCCGATTTACAATGCCAGGAGGTTTAGAATATATTCTTGTGTAAGATGCCATATAGCGTGCAACAGAAAGAATGATGTTGTGTTCACTATTACCTTCCTCAATTCCACTTCCAAAATTAATATAATATAGACCAGCTTCTCTAGATGTAAAAATCTTGTTATTGTTTGAAATAGTGAAACCTCTATTTAAAAATATGGTATTTAGAGATAAAAAACCTGGAGAATTCTGTTTTACACCAAGAGCAGCACTAACAAAACTATTGCTTTCATATCTAAAACCCAACCAGGACGTATCCTTTCCATCATTGCTACCTATCAAATTCGAATCATTTAGAAGGTGTACAACTCTTGGTTTAAATAAGCTGCTTAAGGAAAATAAACCACTTCTTGTAATAGTTTCAGTGAGTAGTCTGTCACTAAAATGTATCTCTTTTGACAGACCTATGTTAATTCCAGTGTTTTCTAGGGACATCCAAGTATTTGTTAGAGTTGTTGCTGTCATAGAGAAAAAATACATTCCAGGCTTTTTAATCTCTACTTCCTTTTTATTGCTATTATATAGATTGTCATCATTCACATCAATAGAACTCCATGGAATTTTTCCGTTATTTACATTTGTATTTTCCTGTAAAGAAAGCATAAATGCTGGGCTTGTAGACCCTGAACAATCAGGTGGTTTGCATTCTCTTATTTCTATCGGAACACCAGGACATTCAGCTCCTCCATTCTGAGGAGGAGGATTGTTACATTCCCTTCTTCTTGTTTCAATTCCAAAACCACCACACTCTGGTTCACAGTCACCCCATTGTGACCATGCAGACCAACCACCTGCCAATGGACATCTGGCAACCTCAAATGGTACACACATTTCAGCTTTACATTCTCTAGTATTAACATTTAGTGAATAATAATAGCCATCAGGACATTGCTGTGGCCAGGAAACACCATTTCTACAGTGATAGTAAATTCTACAATCAAGAAAACTTGGAACTGTTTCATTGCTATTAGAACTACATTCGCTTACTCTAGTAAAACATTGTTCACCATTATTCGAATTTTTTTCACCTGTCTCACATTGACGTATTTTTTGAGAAGGTAGTGATGCCTTTAGAGTCTCTGAACAATCTGATAATTCTGGATCAACACAGGCAGAAAAGCTACAGTCTGATAATATAATTTTAAAATGCTGTCCAGGAGGACATTTCCTTAGAAATGCAGTTCCATTTATGCAATGATGATAAGTATCACATAAAATGCTATCCTTAAACACACCATTTATAGGTCTTTGTTGGTCATCAACGGGACAGATAAATGGGGAAAGTGTAGCATCAGAAGAGTGAAGAGCTGTAAAATGTTGTAAAAAAAGAACAATAATTAAAGATCATAGCTATTTGATGAAAACATTTAAGTATTTCTAATTTTAAAATTATAGAAATTCATATATAATAAGAAACATAAATCAATTAAAGTTTACTTACAGAGACAAAACAGTAGAATCTGAATAATAATTGTCTTCATTGTATTCATTTCAATTTGTAGACAAAATTCAAAATTATATTACCAATAAAAAAACTAGTGGGATATATATATATATATCTTATTATAGGCTTACATTTATGTGCATTTAATGAATAGGTTAATAGGATATTTGATAATTTTGTAATCAGATTATCAGCATTTCTATCATTAAAGGTTAAAAGTTGATATTAGAAAAGAGTGTCATAGTGACTCATTGCACAGTATTATAGCCTTCCAATTATAGTAGATTAACTTTCTAGTTTGTTTTAGCATTACTTGTTCATGTGAAGATACAATTTAAAAAAGTAAAGTTGGAATTTTGTATAAATTTCTTGTCAGGCGATTGAGATATTTTTCTGGGACGTTTGAAAAAATATCAATTCCTATAAACTACTTTAGATATAAAATTGATTTGAACTAATTCCTACAACAAAATCGTTCTACTTTTTCAACTTCACAATTATATTTAATAGATAAAATGTAAACAGATGCACACAAATAGCTTTAGAAAGTAGACAGAGGAAAAGGAGTTCACCTCTTTGTATCAAATGTTAATGAAAGATTTTATGGTAGAGATAGAGGAGAAGGAAATGCAGTTACTGCCAAGAATTCATTGGAATTTCAAAATATCATTAATGGCAGCCAAAAAGGGAAAAGTATCCCTGTTCGATGGAGTATTTCTTATGTATGAAATATGAAATTGTGACATTTTATCTTTGCAAACCTTTGATCAAGTGAACTAAAGCAATAATTTGTGGATGTCTTCTATCGCATCCAAATTTCTCTGCCTAATTAAAGAAACAATTGGGTTGAGTACAATCATTTCTATACCGTGGTCTAAACGATACCTAAAATAGAGTTGGAGGAGATCATACCCTCAATAGAAAAGTGTAGATTTAGGAGCAAGTGTTTTTATGAATGAAGAGTTCAGATTAGGATTTTAGTAAAAAGTTACAAGATTTTTGTACCAAAAAGAAATATGATAAGATATCTCAATGTAAATTGAAAAATCTTATTCAATCAACTTTCTAATGAATGTAATTATCTTATGACGTAGACATAAAATATTAAAATAGAGAGTTTATTATTAAAACATTGATTATGTTGTTATAGCTAAAACAACTAACAGTGACACTTTATACACAAATGTAGCGGCTGACAGTTTAGAAGCGAGTTTTAATTGATTGATAGGAATTTTGTTTGAATGCGTTTAATGAAAATTTGTATATTCAAACATTCCTCTCCAATCAGAATCATTTTTGCAAATTTAGAATGCAGACAGATGATAAGTATTATCAATCCAAAAATTTACATTAGCAAAACAATTCTCAATGGATAAAAATGTTCAGTTTAGAAATAAACAACTTGAATAAAGATTCTTATTCTTTAGCTTTTAGTGTTTTCATGATGACAAAACACTACTCATTCTTTGCCTATAGGCTGAAAAAATAGAATGTTTCCAAAGAAGGTTCAGAGACGGCAACTTGTCTGTACAATGCCAATTCGTATTCATGAATTTTCCATTTCAGTAGACTGTAGGTTCTCTCCATAATTAAGGATAAGGATTCTCTATGTGAATAGACTCTCATACAAATAATGAAGCATCTTATAAATATACTTCCAAGAGTTGGGAAACGTAAACTGACATGGTCTGACAAGAAAATACGTAACAATAGAAATGATAAATTAAGAACTCAAAAGAAAAAAAGAACAATACCTTCTATTGTCGAAAAAAACCTACCGCAGTCCGATATACATTCTGCATCATCAGATTTAGGTGTATTTGATGCACTCCCAGTGTCTTTCAAGTCGAATTTATTGGTTTCATTGGAAAGCCAATTTGCTATTTTAAAAATGAAAAAATTCCTAGTTATCGCTCAATTTAAAATGAAAAAATAAATTATTTAAAACTATTTACTTCCTCTACAACAATTAAAAAAGAAAAGTTTAGGTTTTAAAAGTAAATTTGGGCATTTGTCATTAAAATGGCGTAAAAATTCCTTAAAATCCAAAATATGGTCGTCCAACACTAAAATGACAGAAAAAACTTATTAATAAAAAACATTTGAGAAAACTTCTATTAAAAAGAAAATTTACATTTGAATCCATACTTAGTACCATGAGCCATCACAAAGAATATTAAACAGTCAAAATTCTCCATTTCTTCTTTTAGCAACTTTATTTTGTGAATCAAATTATCCTTGTTACATTGAGGCCAAATTTGTACTTGGTACCCGAGAATATTGAACAAATTTGACAGGTTGTCAATGTCCAGCTCACTTCCTGGTCTCTCTGAAAGGTTTTGCAAAATAATAAAAAAAAACAACAAAAAAAATGCTTTCTTGTCTTTTTAGATAATTAAACTATCCAATTGAAAGTTACTTTTTGAAATGTTGAAAATAACAACTTTTACAGTTTTAAATTCATAGTAGAGTTTCTGAAAACAGTGAAAAAAAGAAAGAAATTAAATTTGTTACTGAGTTATGTTAGAAAAACCTTTCCATCTAAAACTTCATTATCATTACTAAATTTTCTCTCCAGCAACTCGAAAGTAATACGAGGTGATTTATCTTTTAAAAAAAAATGAATATATTTCAATAATTATATTTTAAAAATTTAAATTTTCAAATGAACTATACCAAATTTTTTAAATTCCTTAAATAAGGAATTTTCAGACTTGATAACAGAAATTGGTAGGAAATAGTAATTTTTGAAATCGTTAGTTTTTAATTCGAATTCTTTGTCACTTAAAATATTTTCCAGTTTTGATTCAACAATCAACTGAGTATATTCTAAGATCTTATTCAAAGGTTTACAGTAGTTGCAGTATTTGATTGATAATATTAATCCTCTAATAAAACAACTTCCCCATTTTTCAAGATTTTCAACGTCATCTGTAATTATTGTTTTCATATGCATTCATAACATAATCCTTAAAAATTGGGTATTACTAAGTTTAGTTTCAAGTTGGACAATACTTACCATAAATGTTTTCAATTCTAACAAAAGTATTTTTCATGTTATGTAACGAAGGCACATTATTGCTAGTTGTTTTGTCAGCTTTCACGAACAAACTATCATCGTCATCATTTGATGCTTGTGCAGGTGTTTTGGAAGAGAGTGAAACATTCTTAAATTTTTCATTTAAATCTTCTTCATTTTTAGGAAAAACTAAAAGTACTCGAAATAAAAAAAAAAGACATTTTTAAAAAATTTAACCTTCACCTTTAGTATAAAATTGAAAAAAGAACATTTTAGGTTGGTCGCTAACTTCTTCAATATTTAGTTGATCAATAATTTCCTGACATTTATCAATTTTTTCATTTCCGGTAAATTGTATAAAAAATATTAAACCATATTTAGAAATTGTATCATCCTTTAAAATATGTTTAATTTGGCTTGAAAGATTTTCTTTGATATTCAAAGTATGAGTATGAAAATTCAAAAAGTTGAAAAAATTGATCAAATTTGAACTATCTCTTCCAATAGTGTTTGCTGTAGAAAGGAAGAAAACCCTACTTCCATTATTTTTATAAGATTTCTGTAAAGGTTATTATTGTTAATTTTTAAAAATCAAATCTGCGTTCTTACTTCATCATTCAAACATTTTAATATTTCATTAATTTTCTTCGAACAATCAAAATTTTCCTCGTGTTGGAGTTGTTGAGTTTCTAAAAACAAAAACAAAAAAAGAGTTGTAAGTTAGGAAGATGGACAGTAGAGAATTTAATAACGCAATCACAATTTTTTATTAAATCTCACCATATTCTGAATAATATTTTAGTATGCACACTTTTGGAGAAGTGTTCTTTGATTGGTCAATGAAAATATTCGAAAATCTCCAATTTATAGAATCGTAGGAAACAAACTCATTATTTTTTAAGTTTCCACTTTCAATGATTATTTCTCCTTTGTCAATTTCTTCATGTTGGATGAAGACAACAAAAGGAAAGTCGTTACCTGAATAAAATCAATAATGTGTATGATATAGGCTTATAATATTTGTATTCTTTATCATTGTTTTAATAAAAACCTCTATCAAAACTTTGAAATAAGGTGTTAAAGGATTTAGAAGAGGTTTCTTCAAAATTATTCCCTTTGACAGTAAGCTTTAAGCCATTCTGACCTGGAACCGCATTATTTTTATATGGAAGTGTTATTTCGTTCTGTTCCATTTCAACATTTGTGTTATTCTGGGGAATAAAATGAAAAAAATGGCGACAACAGAAAATATAAGATAGTTGAAATTCAACAAAAATTGATATCACTTACTTTGCTTTTCACAGTAAAATAAACAAAAAATTTCAAAGTTTTGTTATCTAATTTTTCAATTGAAGAATAAAGATTGAATCTTACTCCATCCTTACTATTGTTACAAAGCTCGTGGCGGGAAAAATGCCTCAAATTGCCAACAATCCAATCAGATTTTAAATATTTAAATTCCCCTACGTCAATATCTTTAGATTTAAAAATTGGATTAAACAATAATTTTGCAGTTTTTTGCTCAAAAAATTCTCCATCCGGTTTACAATCGACAGAGCTTTGAAGTATAGTACAATTTTTGTTATTTTTGAATGAATAATTCTCTTGTATTGAAACAACAGTTGATTTTTGAAAACATCCTTCCGGTAGGACAACCAATGAATTTTCAGCATTTAAAATTAATTTTTCACCAGTAAAATAGGCTGTTGAAAATGAATTAATATCATTATTCAACCTTTGCAATATTGGAAAATTATCATCCAAAATCAAATTCTTGTTGTTATTCTCAATGAATATATGTAATTCTTTTGTCTTATCAATATAGAATTGTTGATTGAAGATAATTCCTTTCAATAGATAATCTAAAGAAGAGATTTTAAAATTCAAATCTTTATTAATTTGAATTTGAAATGAAGAACTTTTCATTAAATTCAATTTAAAATCTCTCAAATAAATGAGATTTTTCAATGAATTAATGCTATTCATTTCCTGTCTAATTGATAAATGACAACCGATAAGTTCTTGTCCAATCATCTCTGCTTGAATGCATAGGAGAAGTGTCCATTCTTGGTCGACGTTTTCTTCATCTTTGATTGGAAAATAATAATTGGTGCCTGTTGTTTGGAAGAGAGGAACATAAAGTGATTGATGCTCAATTAGTAAGCCATTATTCAATAATTCAATATGGTCCGAACTGTAATTGAATGCTGGTACAACCATCCAACCAATTTGATTTGTTAGTCTTTTTTGAAAATTACAACTTCCGGTTTGTTTCAATGTAACAATTAGTAAAGTTTCTGCAAAAGTATCTTGTTGGATTCCGTTTAGAATGAATCCAAAGTCGTAGTTGGTTTTAAAATTCCCATTGCCGGGTCTATTACTGTCATCCAACCAGAGAAGAATTCTAATACTGTCTTCATTCCAGAACATAAATGTATTATTTATCTTTGTTTTGAATGCATCAATTAAACTTTTGCATTTTGAACAACTTGAACGTTCTATTTCCGCTTTCTTTTTAAATAAATAAGCTGACGTTTGTTCCAAAGACTTCCGTTGTAATTGTCCAGCAATGGAAGAGACTTTGATTGAGGGAAAAGGGAATACGATTAGTGATAGACTTGAATATTTGAATGAAATAACATATACTTTCAGCAAATAGGAGAGATATTTCCCTTGCTTTTAAATAGCAGTAACAATCTGATTTTCTGACATTATCATAAAAAACTTTTACAGCTAAAAATTTTAATAAAGTGAAATCTATCACGTGACCAAATGAATAAAAAACTATACCTTTGCTTAGTTTAACATCGTCACATTCTGTGTTTGTGTTTTCTTCATTCAGACTTTTAAAGTAATCAAAAGAGAGAAAAACATTTTTTCCTTCTGCTACCAGTGTATTTGTACTTTCGTAATCTTTAAATAGATTTTCGCTAGTTGAGTAGAAAGTTGTTGTTGTATTATTTCCATTTTCATGAATGCATATATTCTCTTTATGGAAAATATTAAATTCGTCAAACAATCTTCTCGCTTGATTGTTCATCCATTTCTCTGTAAAATATACAAATTCAATATTTCTAAAAAGATAAAATACCTCCATTTTGAAAAGTAAATACCATCAAAATAGTTAATGTTCAAATCGGAAAATGATTGAATTGAACAAGTTTCTAATGATTGTGCAATGTCTTTCTGACTACTGCAATCTGTTTGGGCTGATAGAGATGATGATACTGAAAAAGTTTTTTCAGAATGTTAAATTGACAGTTATTTTTTAGCATTCACTAACCTTTTGAATATTTCGGGAAGATAAATAATTTCGGTTTATTACGAAATTCTTCTGAACTATTCTTATTAATCATGCATTTTAAATTGTCAAACGATCCTAATACACTATTCTCAATTTTAAAATCAGATCTATTTTCTTCTTCTGATACAAGAAGAAGGAAGATAAAACCATCAATCTCAGTTGAGTTTCTTTTTAAATTTCGAATTTTTAATTCGAATTCACTTTTTGTATCAATAATCCATTCTTCAATAGTATCAAATAGATTAGATAATTTTTCAATATTAAAAAACTTCCTGTTTTCATTCTTATCTATGTTAAAAGATAAAAACTTAAAAAGAGGCGTTAGTTAAAGAAATAATGCTTACATTTTAAAACAATTAGTTGAGTACATTTTGAATTTTCATTCTGAAAAAAGAGATGACAACTTTTAGAATTTATTTTCTATAATTTAAAAATAATAGTATGCACTTAGAAAACCTTGTTTAGAAAAGCATAGACGTAACCTAAAACTATTTTAAATGAGCGGTTATAAATAGCATTGTGCGCAGCTGACTTCGTATGTTAACAGTCTAGTATAAAACATTTTGGTTTTCCTACGATCACAATACATCGAACTGTAAATATAAAAAAGAAAAAAAACCATTTCAAATCTTTCAAACTGGGTGAAAATTTTTTTGACTTCCTCCATTTCAGAAGTTTCTGTTGAATAGTTGAGTAGTTTAAAAATAAATACTTTTAGCTAAATATTTAAAATTACCATTTTTATTTTCTTGATTTCTAATCATTTCGACAGCTGTTGACAGTCTGAACTCTTTTACTATATTTCATGTACAATGGTTAAATGGTTAATTTATAACCATATACTGTAGACTATTTTCAGATTATTAAAGAAATTGCTCATAACATACCAATTGAATGATTGGTTAATATCAGGTGTCCCGGTAGCGGGTGAAACCGTACCCGAGTGAAACCGTACCTGAGTGAAACCGTACCCATAAAAATATTATATTTTTTTAATTTTATTATTTAGAATTATAATAATGGAAGCTACAAAAATAAAAAGACTGTTAAAATATAAACTGACAGCCATTTTAAAAATGAAGAAACTGAAGTTAACTTTCACTTTGGAAAGAATTTACTTTGAAAGTCAAGCTTTTTTTGATAATTATATTTGGGCAAAGATTATCATTCTAGATTTAACTACTTTCAGATGAATGTTTCGTTCTTCAGAGTGTCAGAAACATGACTGGTATGTTACAGCCTGAGAAGATAACAATTGATTTTGAGAAGGGTCTGTGGAGAGCTGTATCCAAAATATATCCAGAATCACAAATTCATGGATGTATATTCCATTTTATACAAGCAATATATAGGAAAATACAGGTAAAACATTTAATTTTACCTATATGGTTTGTCTTTACAATTATGATCCTTCAAGTCTCTTGGATACTCTGGAAAGTATATGGAGAAAGGGGAGGACTGGAGAGACATGAGAAAGCTGATGGCTTTACCTTTTCTGCCTGCTCATATCATTGCTCCAACATATTTCAGATTGAAATCTCAACTTACAGAAAAAGAAAAATTTGCAGACTTGTTGGAATATTTTGAAGCAACTTGGATTATGAACTCTTTATGGAAATCAGAGAATTGGTCTATATATGGATTATCCATAAGGACTAATAACAGTGTGGGAGGATGGAATAATAAAGTACCATCTAAAGGATCATTTTATTGGTTGCTTGATGAACTGAAGAAAGAAGCTGATTTAGCTATTATCTGTGAAAAGCTTATGTCTGAGAAGAAGATTATCAAGTTCCAAAAAAAGCAGTATATTGAGATAGAAAGAAAAATATTTGAAATTTGAGAAAATTATAGACTTGGAGGGCTTTTGGCAGATGAATTATTAGTTCAAACATCTGATATTTATACTCCATAATATTCTTTTTTTTCACTTTTTCCATTCTTTTATCTTTCAAAGTTATGTCTTAATCTATTATCATTTTCTTAGTATTGTATATACTTTTCTTTAGTATTAATAACATTAAAAAAACCTAATATTTTTATGGGTACGGTTTCACCCAAAATGGGTACGGTTTCACCCCTATTCAGGTGTCCCATACAGCATAAATCTGGTATATCGAATGAAAATCAACATATCAAGATATTGGCAAAGGTGTTTCTTTATGAAGTTTTTAGGGAAGCATGGGCGCAAGGTACCAGAGGTATGGTCTGTATATGGTGAGGCTATAAGGACAAATAATGATCTTGAAGGCTGACATCACAGGCTTAACAAGAAAAATTTGTAGACAGCAAAGAAAAGCATATCAGAATATTCAAAGCAAAATATTCAGCTTATGGGAACAATTTGAAATTGCCTCCATTACCTCCCTGGACTTACTTGATAAAGCTTCTGACATTTATTCACCAGTTTAAAATACTTTTATTCTTTAATGTTGTTACACTGTTGTCAATCATTCTTGTTATAATGCTTCTTTTTACTTAATCAATATATTAATATTTAAATATTTGTAATTCTTATTATTCATTTTTTCCTGTCAAATTGCTCTAAAAACTCCATCTATCAAATATCTTATATCTTACTTTGAAGTTCTATAGTGGACGTTTTCTCCTGTACCCGTTTTTTTCTTATTTGGCTGTGAGTCACATTATTCCAGACAATGGTTTGGGGACTAATATTTTTACTACTTCTGTATTTGATGACCTTCTTTCTCAATGCATGTACTGATCCTACCCCGCCCCCATTCCAGTGTACAGATTTGGTAGCAAGTCAGGATTTTTGTTTATAAGTTTGTAGGAGCATTTTTTAATTTTCTCCCATAGTTCATCTTCTGATGTGAATTGTGCCCCATCATAAACCAAATTTTTGGTCAGGTGCCACACATTTTCTATTGGGCTAAGATCAGGGCTCTTAGCTGGCCAATCGATTGGATGTATGCCATTCATCCTGAATGCCCTGCTTGGAACTCTTGCAGTATGGCACCCTGCATTATCCTGCTGGAAGATGTAATCTCTCCCCATTTTATCTGAGATTTCTTCTATAACTGTGAGAACATCTTTGACCACAAAAGTAGCATAGTTTTGGGCATTCAATCTTGTGCTTACTCTCCATACCTCAAACACACCATCCGAGGTTATTAGTCCCCAAACCATTACTCCACCTCTGCCCATATTTTTTGTTAATCTCATCTCTTTTTCCCTGTCATTTGTCCAGGTCCTGAAGTTGTCAGGACCACTCAATGAAAACCTTGCCTCATCCATAAATATGACTCTTGACCAATCTAAGTTATCTCAAATAGTTTTGAAACAATACTGTTTTGCAGTCATTGCTTGTGAGATCAACTCTTTGTTGAATTCATTTATAACAAAGATTTTGCAATTTCAACTCTCTCTGAATTGTCTTCAGGCCTACATCTACCTCTAATTCATTTAAAATCTTCCTAGCTGTCACCCTTTCCTTGTTTCTTTTAAGTCTCTTCACAATCCTATTCATTCTTGCTACATCTCTTTCTGTGAGTCTCTTTGGACAACCCCTATTCTCTTGTTTGGGTGGCTTATACCTTAAAATGTTGCTCACTGTAGATGATGCCATTCCCAAAGCCCTTGCAGTTTCCCTTACTTTCCCCAATTCTTCATATTTCTGGATTACCGGGTTCCTAACCTCTTTTCCCCATGCTATAATGAAATAAATGATATAAAAATTAACTAAAGTAGGTAAAATAGATAATAAGTAATCAACTTAACTTGGAAAATTAATTTTGTTGAAAAAAATTTCAGTTTAAGACATCTATTGAAATGCAAAACCGGATGTAATCTGGATGTATGGTTAATTTGGACTTATGGCCAAATAAAGAAAAAAACAGTGAAAATTAAAAAAAAAATTTTGCTAATAATTTTCACAAATATGATAATTTTCTATAATTTTTTTCAGTATAACATAAATATAACTCTTTCTTCATGGAAATTTAGACAAAAAAACCAATTTAAAACAAAGATAACATTTTTGGGGTGTTTTCAAAATTGGCCTATCAAAATTTACAGTGTCTGGGTATTTTAGGCCTTGACTTTATATTCAGTTTAATAAATTTAGTAATAATTATTGAAGCACATTAGTCTTACTTTAACTACTTATGAACAATAATTTAGAAGCCTGCTAAAGCGCACTAAAAGGTCAAACTTGACTATTGTTGACTTTTGGATCAGTTCCAACTTCTCACATTCAATGGCTGAATTGAATGTTACAAAAATTGTTACATCTTACAAAACCAAATGAAAGTTTACGGATTAAGTAATATTGTTGGAAAGTATCAGTAGTATTACTTTGGCGGTTGTAAAATTAAAGCAGAGTGTATTTAATACTGCGATTAGACCTAATATATCTAGAGTTCTTTTATGTAATCAGTCAAGTCACAAAGCTCACATTAAACGGTATTTTTTATAAGATGCATTTAAAAAGATAAGAGCAGAAAACAAACTTGTTGAATAACAATTTATATCAAAAATTGATATTTTTTATCAGAATTATTTTCATCAAGGTATTATATCTTCAGTTTGTGATTGCTAGGCAACACATACAACCATAAAATTGACAAATTGCTTAAACCAGCCAGAAACTTCTTCTTCATTTTTGAAAAGAACATCAGGTGGTTGAGCAAACTTCAAGTCATAACTGTCAAAACTTTCTGCTGTCTTAAACACATATTTTTTTGAGTTGTTTAATATCACCACATGGTATTTTCATTTCTTGCCCGCATAATGGACAACAGATTTCATCATTTTTAATTTGTAAGTGTTGAATACAAGTAAAACAAAATATATGTTGACAAGAAAGCACTCTTGGATCATTTCCTTTCCAGGAATCTAAGCATATTCCACATTCAAAATCATCTTCAATAGTAAGATATTGTTTGGCCGCCATTTTACAATGGCCGCTGGTTTGTTTGCTTTCATATTTGCATTTTTAATATTTACAGATATAAGTTGAAATTCTGTTTTTGTAGAGTTTCTAAAAGTGTATCAAAAATGCAAAATTTTTATTATCAAAAGAAGATAAATTTTATAGATTTTAAACCTGGATAGGTTGTAAAAGGGTGTAAAAGGGTATGTCTAAAACATGAACTGCATGTATATAGATTAGTAACACCAAAAAATGTGATATTTTCTTCCTTACTCGATTAAAAGCGATCAACCAAAAAACAAAAACTACAAAAGAAATTCGTAAAACTAAAACAGTAAAACTAATTAATAATTTCTATTTGAAGAATTATAAAAAGCTAATTATTTTTTGTATGTCTTTTTTATTATTTCTTCAAAAATATTTATTTTGATAAATTGAATTTAATAAACAGAAAAGTTCACAAACAAACAGAAAATGTCTACAAAAGAGAAAATTGTCAGAATAAACAATAATGTTGAGAGTTAGCACACAAGATTAGATAGAGCAGTGGGAATTGATGAAAATGTCTACAACCCTTAACAATATTTTTAATTTATGGGATCAGCTTGAAAAAAGAGAAACCAATCTGAATAATCTGTTAGATCAATTATTTACATTAAATGAAATATTTTGGATACTTTTGGCAAATAGTATATTCTACAACTTTAAAAAGGCGACAACCAGCCCAACAAATTTAAAAAGATTTTAGTTTTTAACTCTACAATAAATTTTTAATTTAACATTTTTAGCATCATAATATATATAACAACTCATTACTTTAAATGATTTTCCATATTCAACATCCTCTCCATCTTGTGGCCAATGAGATGTATCAATCTCTTCTTCAGTAGTTTCGCAATTCACATCCTGACTAAAAGATATATGTTCTCTATCCGTGTCCTTTCTACAAAGTTCCAATATTTTCTCATCTATACGAAGTTCTTTAAAGACACCAATAGCTAATTTACTAAAATATTCTGTAGAATCAATTTTATCCGCTTTTCCATTTCTTTTTATAATATATACTATTTTTTTCAAAATGTCATAACTGTATGATATTACTTTAGAGAATTGCCTTGTATTTTGGCTTTCACTTTTCATAGCAAGTTTTAGAATGAAATCAAAGCCAAATTTTGTTAGATTATTACAAATGCAGTCTAATTTTAGGCTCAGACAATATAATTCCCCAGGTTTCATATTATGCAAAACTTTACTTCTGAGTACTTTTAAGAAATTGATATTACTTTTAAAATTAAAGTTGGAATTTTTATGATTTATTGCAGAAATTGTTTTTGTATTTACTGCAATATTTTTATTTGGATTCTTTCTATTTGAATTTGAAAAAATTTTACTGTTGCTTTTTGCTATATAACTACCAGTTTTGCTTACATTTTGCTGTATAATTTTTTGTTTTGTATATGAATTTTGTTTGTGTTTTTTTACTGATCTCTTTACTCTTAATTGAGCTTTTCTGATAGCAGATGTATTATTTTTAACAATATTCCTATTTCCTTTTTTTGTTATTGGATTCAATTTGAATTTATTATTATTCTTTCCTGATTTGTAATTGGGCCTAATGGAAAATGCCTTCATAAACTGATCAGGATTTTCAATTCTATTTATAGTTCTAATGAATTTTGCATTTCGAACATCTGCTGTACCCCTCATTTTTCGTCGAAGAGCATTAAATTTTCTGCCATGTTTCGCGAATTTTGTCTTCCTCATCTGATTTATATATTCCTTTTGAGCGTCTTTGATAATAGCAGACGCCGTTTGAAAAGTAATAATGGAATGTGTAAAAAAAAATACATTTGTTGAAAATTGAAGATAATCCAAAGGAGTGATTTGCTCTTTATCTTTCAATTCTATAGCATGACTAAGGATAGCAATTCCACTTGTCGATATGTTGGATATATTAATTGAATTAGAAATTATTCGTGTTGATCTATTTAAGATAAGTCCAGTTCTGGCAGTATATGATAAAAATCTACCAACACCAAAAGCTAAAATACTAACACCAGAAGTGACTATGCTCAACCAACATTGTCTAGCTTCTTGGTCAGTTAAATTAATTGACTTCTTGTGCTGGTGTCTATCGATTATTGTTTCAATACTTCGTCCTGTAGAATAGACTGCTGTAGGAGTTCCTGCAATTGCACTTCCTAGCAGAAGTGAACCACCAACAGCTTGAGTTAGTGGGAAAAGAGTTAATCCTGCTCCAGCAACCATTGTAAGAATAGATCCCATGCCTATACTTGTGCTGACTTTATCAACAATATTGGAAGGCTTCCCCCTTGTACTTTGGTCAAGAAAGTGAACTGGTCTATAATCAGGGTATGGATAATTTTTTCTATCAAGATAGACAGCGTCATTTGGGACACAAATCCAGCACATGCTCCATATGTTTGTATCCAAGTAATGCATCCAATTTTGGTACACTCTACCAACATGATCAATAAAATATGATTGAGTCACCTTATAGGTATTTTCTTCTTTTGAAGAACGTATTCTGATAACGGGTACAGCTGTATCTATTTCTTTTTCTCTGTAAACAAATACATATAGAAAAGCAAGATAAATGTTGCCATCCTCAAATGTTTTCTTTGAATATTCAATGCATTTATTAACTATTTCATCAACTATTTTCTTCTCATTAGACGATAGTCCAAAATCGTCTGTGTCTTTTTTAGGTTCTCCAAATATTCCTAAAGAGATCTTTTTCCACAGTTCTAAATGTTCATTCTCCTTGTACATATCCCATATTGAACTTGCGAATAATAAAGAATTTTCTGTTTGTTTTGCTTCCGTCTTTCTAATCCACTCTTCTAAGGTCATATTTGTCCAGAAAAAAATTGGAAGATTATAGCCAAAAAACTCTTACCGACTCGTGTAGCACAAATGATATATTGATTTTTATATTTTGGCCTGTCACCACAAGCAATCACTAGTCAAGCTAACAATCAATATTTAAAATGAAAGTAGGTTTTAGGTGATTTCCGATCATTGATTGTTCAAAATTTACAGTGTCCACATATTCCTGTCGTCCACTTTATATTAACTCTACCTTGTACCCATCCTGTTCAAAATATTTTTCACTATTTAAATATCCAATCCAATAGGCAAAGTAGCAAATTGAATATTTCATATTATTAATACTTTACATGCCTATGTTATTCATGGAGTTGTTTTAACATTAAGAAGGAGAGAAGTTCTAATTTATCAATTATTTATAATCTTTGAACTAGATAAAATGATGAATAAATGAAAAATTGAATGCAGAGAGAATATTTTCCTACACAGCATAGTTTTAAATGATTTTCTGAGGATTGATAATACTTATCATCTGTCTGCATTCTAAATTTGCAAAAATGATTCTGATTGGAGAGGAATGTTTGAATATACAAATTTTCATTAAACGCATTCAAACAAAATTCCTATCAATCAATTAAAACTCGCTTCTAAACTGTCAGCCGCTACATTTGTGTATAAAGTGTCACTGTTAGTTGTTTTAGCTATAACAACATAATCAATGTTTTAATAATAAAATCTCTATTTTAATATTTTATGTCTACGTCATAAGATAATTACATTCATTAGAATGTTGATTGAATAAGATTTTTCAATTTACATTGAGATATCTTATCATATTTCTTTTTGGTACAAAAATCTTGTAACTTTTTACTAAAATCCTAATCTGAACTCTTCATTCATAAAAACACTTGCTCCTAAATCTACACTTTTCTATTGAGGGTATGATCTCCTCCAACTCTATTTTAGGTATCGTTTAGACCACGGTATAGAAATGATTGTACTCAACCCAATTGTTTCTTTAATTAGGCAGAGAAATTTGGATGCGATAGAAGACATCCACAAATTATTGCTTTAGTTCACTTGATCAAAGGTTTGCAAAGATAAAATGTCACAATTTCATATTTCATACATAAGAAATACTCCATCGAACAGGGATACTTTTCCCTTTTTGGCTGCCATTAATGATATTTTGAAATTCCAATGAATTCTTGGCAGTAACTGCATTTCCTTCTCCTCTATCTCTACCATAAAATCTTTCATTAACATTTGATACAAAGAGGTGAACTCCTTTTCCTCTGTCTACTTTCTAAAGCTATTTGTGTGCATCTGTTTACATTTTATCTATTAAATATAATTGTGAAGTTGAAAAAGTAGAACGATTTTGTTGTAGGAATTAGTTCAAATCAATTTTATATCTAAAGTAGTTTATAGGAATTGATATTTTTTCAAACGTCCCAGAAAAATATCTCAATCGCCTGACAAGAAATTTATACAAAATTCCAACTTTACTTTTTTAAATTGTATCTTCACATGAACAAGTAATGCTAAAACAAACTAGAAAGTTAATCTACTATAATTGGAAGGCTATAATACTGTGCAATGAGTCACTATGACACTCTTTTCTAATATCAACTTTTAACCTTTAATGATAGAAATGCTGATAATCTGATTACAAAATTATCAAATATCCTATTAACCTATTCATTAAATGCACATAAATGTAAGCCTATAATAAGATATATATATATATATCCCACTAGTTTTTTTATTGGTAATATAATTTTGAATTTTGTCTACAAATTGAAATGAATACAATGAAGACAATTATTATTCAGATTCTACTGTTTTGTCTCTGTAAGTAAACTTTAATTGATTTATGTTTCTTATTATATATGAATTTCTATAATTTTAAAATTAGAAATACTTAAATGTTTTCATCAAATAGCTATGATCTTTAATTATTGTTCTTTTTTTACAACATTTTACAGCTCTTCACTCTTCTGATGCTACACTTTCCCCATTTATCTGTCCCGTTGATGACCAACAAAGACCTATAAATGGTGTGTTTAAGGATAGCATTTTATGTGATACTTATCATCATTGCATAAATGGAACTGCATTTCTAAGGAAATGTCCTCCTGGACAGCATTTTAAAATTATATTATCAGACTGTAGCTTTTCTGCCTGTGTTGATCCAGAATTATCAGATTGTTCAGAGACTCTAAAGGCATCACTACCTTCTCAAAAAATACGTCAATGTGAGACAGGTGAAAAAAATTCGAATAATGGTGAACAATGTTTTACTAGAGTAAGCGAATGTAGTTCTAATAGCAATGAAACAGTTCCAAGTTTTCTTGATTGTAGAATTTACTATCACTGTAGAAATGGTGTTTCCTGGCCACAGCAATGTCCTGATGGCTATTATTATTCACTAAATGTTAATACTAGAGAATGTAAAGCTGAAATGTGTGTACCATTTGAGGTTGCCAGATGTCCATTGGCAGGTGGTTGGTCTGCATGGTCACAATGGGGTGACTGTGAACCAGAGTGTGGTGGTTTTGGAATTGAAACAAGAAGAAGGGAATGTAACAATCCTCCTCCTCAGAATGGAGGAGCTGAATGTCCTGGTGTTCCGATAGAAATAAGAGAATGCAAACCACCTGATTGTTCAGGGTCTACAAGCCCAGCATTTATGCTTTCTTTACAGGAAAATACAAATGTAAATAACGGAAAAATTCCATGGAGTTCTATTGATGTGAATGATGACAATCTATATAATAGCAATAAAAAGGAAGTAGAGATTAAAAAGCCTGGAATGTATTTTTTCTCTATGACAGCAACAACTCTAACAAATACTTGGATGTCCCTAGAAAACACTGGAATTAACATAGGTCTGTCAAAAGAGATACATTTTAGTGACAGACTACTCACTGAAACTATTACAAGAAGTGGTTTATTTTCCTTAAGCAGCTTATTTAAACCAAGAGTTGTACACCTTCTAAATGATTCGAATTTGATAGGTAGCAATGATGGAAAGGATACGTCCTGGTTGGGTTTTAGATATGAAAGCAATAGTTTTGTTAGTGCTGCTCTTGGTGTAAAACAGAATTCTCCAGGTTTTTTATCTCTAAATACCATATTTTTAAATAGAGGTTTCACTATTTCAAACAATAACAAGATTTTTACATCTAGAGAAGCTGGTCTATATTATATTAATTTTGGAAGTGGAATTGAGGAAGGTAATAGTGAACACAACATCATTCTTTCTGTTGCACGCTATATGGCATCTTACACAAGAATATATTCTAAACCTCCTGGCATTGTAAATCGGCAATCAGCATATCCTTCATCCAGAGGATTTCTACAAGACTTACATGAAAATACTGTTTTACAATTGTCAGCAAGTAATCACGTGACAAGCTCTAAATTGGAGACATATCTTCTTGCATTTAAAATAAATAGCTCTTTTCCAGCTGTATTTCTAGTTAAAAGTCATCAGGGACAGAGTCAATGTCGACCAATATTTGGAATACAAGGATTACAGTTTGAAAATGTACTGGTGGATACGTTGAATTCATGGAATACTACAGGATATTTTACAGCCCCCATAGACGCAGCCTATTTTGTAGAAGTTAACTTGGTAGCTATAAGAACAACAGAACTTATTGTTGAAGTAAATGATCAAGTAGCTTTCAAGTTGAAACATGTAATGAAACATTCAGGTGAAGCGGAATTATCAACCAGAACAGCTTTATTAAGGTTAAAGGAAGGAGATATTTGCAAAATAAAGTATAGAGGTTGTCTAGAACATATGACTATGTCAAGTTCATTCACTATATTTGCTATTCAAAACTGATGTAATTGTAAATTACTAAATCTATTATTACTTATTTCTTCAATTTCAATAAATAACAGCTTTAGTTTTTATTGCCAATCAGTATTTTAGTTCTGCTCTGAGGCCTAATGTTTTACATATAAAATCCAAAAAAGAATAGTTGTTAGTGAATCTGTTTTAGAATTAAACTATGTGGACGCGACAGACAATGTGTATGTATTTGAAGTTTTATCCCAGCTCTTAGTCAAACCCACTTAACAATAAAGCAAATGTTCATTAAATTTTCCAAGCCCAATTTCAATCTAAACTGTAACCACAAAGTTTCCAAACAGTGGACATTTTCTGTCAACCCCAGGTTATGCTATCAAATGGGTGACTTTATAAGTATTTTTGTTATAATCTTAGGTTTATTTGTATCCAATTAGTAGCAGATGACACTTGATAAGTGTGCAGTCAGAATACAAAACTTACTGTCATCAAGGTTCATCTGCTACATGTGAATAAAAGGATGTGCAAAAACTTGTTAAGATAATACATAAATTGTCTTTGGTATAATTTAGAAAATCAACAACACAGTCACAGAAAATGATATCAATGATAACTTATCATTTGTTTTTTTTTAAAACTAATTTTTAGACTTTTAAATAATTTTTTATGATTATAAATCACTTTTCTTTTATTGAAGATAATACTTTGAATTTCACTAGAAAGCAAAAATGAAGATTATTGATATCATTCAAATATGACTGTTATCGGGACCAGGTGAAACCATACAAATTAGGTATCTTATGGTCAAGAAATCAAGACTTTAATTAAAGAGAAGAACCAAGAAGGCTTATCCTATGGGCAGATTTCAGAGATTTGTAATATTCCAAAATCTTCCATACAATACATTATTAAACCAAATAAAACCAAGAGTGGAGGTGTTGGGAGACCAAAATCTCTGTCAATTAGAGATAAAACCCTCATGAAGAGGGGAATAAACAAACTGAAGAAAGAGAAACAGAGGGTTACAAGTACAAAACTGGCATATGAATGCAACCTTACTGTTTCAAAAACAATGATTCAAAAAAAGCCCTTAAAGAAATGGGAGGAAAACTTAAAAAAATCTCTCAGCACCCCCCTCTCAAGAAGAAAAATAGACTTCAGCAAGTGGAAATTTGTTGAGGGTGATTTGAAAATAAAATAAATTTGGACAATGTAATCATTTCTGATGAATGTAGATTCAGTTTTCATGGGCCAGATAGCTGCCAAACCTGGCAGTTTAATCCAGAAAGGGAAAACTTAAGATGTTAACAATCAATGGGTGGTGGAAGAGTCATGATCTGGGGATGTATGGGACCAGATGGTTAGTGCTCATTTCTAGAATTGAAAAAAAATATACAAAGGGATGGTACCTGGCTCTCTTGAAAAAAGAGGTCATGTCATTCCTAAAAAAAGATATAGGAAGGGTTTCATTTTCCATCAGGACAATGCTCCTTGCCACAAGACCAAAATTGTCCTAAAATATTTCAAGACTGGAAAGTGCGCAGTCTTACCATGGCCAGTTTACTCCCTAGATCTCTCTCCCACAGAGGATGTATGGCATTTGCTAAAGAATATGGTGTATGATCACAGTTTAGCAAAAAGGAAATTTTGTGGAAGTGTATCAAAGAAAAAGTTGAAATACTGAACAAAAGATGGAAAAAAGACTTATTTGCCCTTCACAACTCATTGCTGAAGAGAGGACTGGACTGCATCCAAAAAAATGGCTTGAAGCTAAAATATTAAAATTTTGTAAATGTACATTTAATTAAAAATTAAAAAATATACAAAATATAAGGGATATACAGAAAATTTTCATAAGTAGCTCATAAAAATTTCAAAAAATTTTCTTTTTCCTTGTTTTAATGTTTTAAAATAAATATTCTATTTTTCTATCAGTTCCAGAACTACTCAAGCTTTGATCTAATCTTATCTTATCCAATTTCCTACCTTGTTTATCTAAAATAACTGAAAATAAAAATATGCAACATCCACAATCGATTGATGGATAATGATAGGATTACTATTTCTTATTAATTAGATAAAACTCATGGATTAGTATAAAATTGGAAAATTTTCTTTCATTTTAACATTAAAGGTGAAACATGAAACTTTTCACTTTTAGTTTATTGTGTAAGTAATTTATTGTTTGTTTAGTTTTTTCTGAACAAAAAAAACACCATTTATGCTATTTTTAACATTTTAACAGTGTTGTCATTTGTTGAATGCAAATGCCCTCCATTTTCTTGTCCTCTTAACTCCGAACTGAAACCTCTTGATGGAACCTTCCGTATTCCAGTTTATTGTGGATATTATTATCATTGTAGAAATGGTACTGGCCATTTTCGACAGTGTCCGCCTGGACTGGTTTATTCCATTTTGTTTAAAGAATCTAAGTTTTCCATGTGCCAGAAACCGAATAAGGGTGATAATTGCTTAGAAATAAATTCTACATATGCCACTGAATCAGATACCCATGAATGTTCAGAAGCCAATGGTGTAAGAACATTTAATAAACCTTGCCATGTGAAATCTTCCAATTGTGAAAATAATCAATACGGAACATTTAGAAATGAAAGTGATTGTAGGCAATATTATCATTGTTATGATAAAGTTGCTGGGCCTGATCAGTGTCCACCGGGCTATTTTTTTAGTATATCATTTAATAATTATTATTACACCATAGCAACATGTGCTAAATCCGAAAAAGCTAAATGTAAAATATTAGGAGGATGGTCAGATTGGTCTGCATGGTATGGATGCTATCCGTGCTGTGAGGATGGCTTAAAATCTCGTAAAAGAACTTGTACAAAGCCTACACCTTTAAATGGAGGAGATAGATGTTCTGGAAATTCAGTTGAAACAGAAATATTTCCTCAGCTTTATTGCAGTTCAAACAGAAATCCTGCATTTATGGTATCTATGACAAGATCAACTTACTTAAATTCAAGCACAGTTTTCTGGCATAAAGTGAATCATAATCATAAATTAATATTTAATCAAGTTACAAACTCATTGAATATAACAAAAAGTGGCTTTTATTTTTTTACATTAACTGGTAACAAAGCAGAAAGTTATCCGCTTTCAATGATAATAGAAAGTGTTCTTTGGAGCTTAAAGTTTTTTCAGCAAACCAAGGACACTACTAGTCAATCTGGATTATATTGGTTATCGACTAAAAATCAACCATATGTATCACGACGTCAACAAGCTTATGTTTTTAGCAGTGAAAATGGCTCAGAAACATCTTGGTCTGGTTTTATGTATAAAACAAATAATGCTTTTTTTGTTAGGAAACATTCAAATAATAATATGGTAGGAAATTTACTACGACTTTCCAGGATTATTACCTTAAAAGGTGCATTTCTCACTCCGTATAGAACACAAATAACAATGCTAGCAGCAGGATGGTATTTTCTTAATTTTGGAACTGGCTTCCAAAGTTCAAAACACTGTATAATAAGCTTAACAATAAATGGTGACTCAACATCTTTTGAAAGATCCACTGCAAAAGGTCATCTCAGTTCTGATAACTCTCAGGTGTCAAGAGGAATAATTGTTTATTTAAATCAAGATGACAAAATTTCATTAAAATTAGTTACTGGATACTCTGATCCAGATTCCGACAAAACTGATACCTCTCTTTCAGGATTTAAATTTAATGCAACTACAAGAAGTCCAGCATTTTATGCCGATAAAACTAATCATTTAATGACAACTGTAAACAAAAAGATAAATTATGATAAAGTTGTGCTGGATACAAATTTTGGTTGGAGTTTTGAAAATAATACATATACTGTTGCAATTGATGGTTTATATCATATTGATGTATCAGTTGGAACTTGGCCATTCTCTCAGTCAATAATATCTATTATGGTAAATGATGAACAAAAATTAGCTTTGAGAAGAGTAACACCAAAATCAAGTTTTGAAAGCATGAGCAGAGCAGGATTATTAAATTAAAACAAGGTGATACTGTTTCAGTAGAAACAAGTCAAAATCTCTGAATATAAATTAACTTCAATAGCACTATTTTATATTTCGCCTTTTTAAAACAGGTATATTGCAACTATTATATTTCTATTATTGTGTCATGTGACCAAATGAATACAATCAGTTGTCAAACACTATTTAAAAATGAGAAAAAAGTTAATATTTCATTCATTGTGACATTTGCAACAATGACTTATTATCGCTACACTGCATTTAATATTCAGAACAAACTTACTAGCCTTGGGATTAATGATAAACAAATTTTATGTGAAATGACAGATTCATACAATTGTTGCTCTGAAATTGGTAAAGCAATACTGAATATACAACACTTTTAGATATTTTTAGTGTTATATAATTATTATTCAGCGATTGAGTCATTTAATAAATAAATATAATGGATGATTTTCATTTTGTAATAGAAGATACAAGGTGTAAAGTGTGCTTGAAAAAGAAGGCAATAAAGTAATGACAGGAATATTGGAACGCCTCGAATTTTAAAAGGCCAAATATTAAAAATCTTTTTCAGTACGAAAAAAGATTATTTTTTTTTTTTTTCAATGTTTAATAATAGGCTCAACTTCCAATTTTATATAAATTTCTTAATCTTTTCACAGTGCATTCTCTGACTCATATTTGGGCCATCATAGACCATTGTCTTGGTCAAGTCCATGCACTAAAAAGATTTACAATTCACTATATTAAAATATGACTAATAAAGTGACATTATGGACAAGTTCTATCTTTTGTGATTGTTCAATTTGTCCTTCCAGTTCATTTTCTCCACTAATAGAGTTTTTAACTTGTCCATTTGCGCCTGTATTAAAAGAAAAATCACATAGAGGAACAAACAATATGCTGCTACTGTTATTTTGTGACTTGTTATGCATGATTTCTGTCAATGTGCAACCAAAATTGTTTTTGTTTTGAAGAAATATATATTTTATCACTTTCATTATATTTTACTTTTAAAACTATATTGTTTCTAAAAGGAAGCAAACTTATCTGTAGGACTTTATAACATTCTCTTACTAAATATTCTGGTCGGTCTCTATTTTGTTATTGCTGTTATTATTATTATTATTAATTTCCTTTTTCCTGCAACGACAACTGGTACATTTGGAATGATATTATATTGGATAATAAATAAAAAGAATACATAAACAAAGTATTTAGCTATTTACCATAAATGAATCACTCAAGATTGATTCTGCAAGTGTGAGTAAATGTATAATATTTTTTAATGGAGATAGATTGACAAAAGCAATTCAATTTTTCTTTTTAACATAAAAATAAAGATAATTCATTACAATTTCTCTTCTCGATCATAATCTTTGCAATTAATTATTCTTATAGTTAATGTTCTGTTCAGTTAACAGGTGAATCTATCTCTATAGAGTTTAAGAGAGAATGGTCAGATGTTGAAAATACTCAGAGGCGCGAACATCAATTTATGTGTGAAATATCATTTATGTTTATTCTGACCAAATCAATTCCGATATTAAAGTGTTCAAACAATCTTGAAAATAGTTCATCGATTATCTAATTTGCATAGTTTCCACCAAATTAAACAATGACAACATTCACTCATGGATCTCTGTGCCCAGTACATGGCGCTTTCAGAATCAACAATGTTTGCTAGAAATTCACAAAAGCAGTTCGACTTTAGAAACAGTTATTGCCCTTGTGCCATGAACTGCTGTAAAATTTTCAGGTGTATGTTTATCTTTGAATAATTTTGGAATGTTTGTATACAAGGAAAATGATACAAAAAATCTTGCAACATTTCCTATGGAGAGAAGAAAAGATATAATAGATACGATGCAAGTGCTCTTTCATAAATGACTAATGTTGAATGTATCCTGTTTTTTAATTTAATTAAAATTTTATGTCATTTGTGCCAAATTTTTCAAATATTCTGATCATTTTTTCACTGGCTCTTAGTGTGTCTCTATGTCTGTACACCATTGCAGAGCTCTCTTCCGTGAACTACAAACAGATACTGGGATTTTATCAATTATCAAATAATCAGCTACAACCAATTGATATCAACAACAAATTATCAGAAGTGAAAAATTTAAAGGAAAATGAGCATTTAAAAAATGTCAGCAGAGAGATATTCAAAAACATTTAATTATAAAAGATAAAAATGTGAAACAAAAAATCCTTTAAATCCTTTCTATTGCTGATGTCTGTTGTTAGATGATCATTTTTACCATGAATATGTTCTAAGTTTCGTTTGATAAATGTTTTTCCTTGCAGGCGAACCCTTGCAGGGCATCTTTGTTTTTTGGTCCTCTTACTGCATATTCAAATGAACACTTTTTGAAGTTTTAGCTTTTAGATCGAATGAAAATCCATCATTGATTAGAATATGTTTTCCCAGTTAACTTCAACCTTTAATTATTTGAAAGTTGTCATGCATAATTTTTTGCAAGTGTTCAATATTCCATTGTCATTTTCATTTGTATCCATCATACCTTCATTTGCATCTACAGTCACATCCTTATTTAAATTCTCATCCATTTCATTTCTATTCATCTCATAGTTATCAAAATAGCCATCATCACAAAACTCTGACTTATTTGAAACTCATTTTTGATGGATTTCATTTATTAATTATTCTTTTCTAAAAAGAAATTCATATAAGATTGCCTAATTGATGATTAATTCAGAAAAAAACATTAATAAAATACTAGTCTATTGCCTGATTGTTGATTATTTGTGAAATTGATTATTATTGTTCTAAACAAGTTGTCATTTTAATCTTTGATTTGTTGGAGTTCTCTTGCCAACTGTCCAAGTTGTATACAAATAAGGTTTATTGCTATTTACTTGTTGTTATTGTTTCCTTTCTTTTAATATTTCAATATGGAAAGTCAAAATCTGTGTTTAGAAATTTCCAAGAAGCTCTCTTTTATAACAAATTAAAAAATTCAACATATAAAATTCAACCAATTCAAAATGGACGACAATTTTATTTTAAATGCTCATTCGGTGAAGACAACAACTATGTTACAGAAATTGATAATGACGTGGAACAGAATATAAAGATAAAGACTCCTGGTGGTCCTTTTGATTATGCAATCACAAATATAAAATATCAGGATCTGAATGATTTAGAATTACAAGAGATGAAGAAATATTCTGGAAAATGTTCCCAAAATATGAAACTTACAATTAGAAACTCGCAAGCTCATCTCCTAAAATTTCAATTCTTTGATGACACCAAATATAATCTGAGCAGTTTTGAGGACGGCATTTGTAACTGTTTAATATCAACAGTATGTCTTGAAGAGAAGGATTCAAGTAAAAATTGTATTGATACTGGACAGAAATCTCATAATCAAATCTATGATTTATCGGGTGAAATCTCTGTTCTATCAAACAAATTACCATTAATTCAAATTTCATATGGTGATTTAGACGACTCTGAGGAATATGCAAAACATGTCATAGGTCCACTGGCATGTACCTTACCTCGGATAGAAGTCATAGCCCCCAGTGGATGCTTTGGAAGCCTTTTTGCACTACGTGGCAAAGATACACATACATGTGTTCAATTTCAAATATCAACCCTATCACTTCTATTGGATTATACTGAAAATTTTAAAATCTCTGCAAAATTTATCCACTCACTGAGCATAATATCCTACATGAAGACAGAAGATTCTCAACTGAGGTTATGCAACGAAATTCGAAATCAAACTTTCATATGTGAACAATATTAAAAAGAATTGTTGTTTTCGTATTGAATACGTCAAAAGAAAATATTGAGATATGTGAAATTTAATAAATCGATTATCTACTGCAATTATCTGGAAATTATCTGTGTACAAAACTGAAAATAATTGTTTAGACAAGAGTTATTGTAAAGGATTAGTTAGATAAATTCAAATCATAGACATATTAATGCAATTTACAAACATACCAAACAAGTGTCTGAGGTAAAATTATGAAACTTTCTTCCGACGAGCTTATTCTAGACATTAGTTGACAATTATATAATTCAACATTACTGTTCTGATCTACAATTGCTATTGAATGGTTGATAATCTTCTCTATTAGGTCTACTTTTACAAAAAGAATTATATACTAGATTGTCTATCAAAGCTGTCTTTGTTGTTTGTATGAAGGATGAGGTGTTATGTTATTACAGAGAAAAGGCAAAGCCAGCTATATCTTATCCTCTCCTTTTTTTCTATATGTAGAATGAACAGTAAGTTAAAATTTGCTTTATGGGTCGACAGAAAACGTCCACAAATGAGTTATTTCAAGACTAGATTTTGGATTGAGAAATGATTAGGGAGAAGAAAACAGCAACTGGCTTGTACTTAAGAGTTAGGGCTAATGGAAAGGCTAGGTACAGCCAAGGGCTGGATTAGAGTTAGGGTAAAAGCATTCATTTGTGAAAAGGGAGAATTTTAACTGAACATTATGGAAAATTTCAATATAAAATTTTATTAGCGAAATACAAGAGCGACAAAGAAAGATAAGAATGTCAACGAGTTTTGAAAGAGTTTGTAACGGAATTATACTCTCTTCCAACACTTTAAAACAATATATTATGATTGAGTGCAATCTCAACTGCAAACAAGCAACATACTTAGGACAAAAAATGCAAAAGTTCTCTTTGTTAGAAAGTGTAAACTTTAGTTGTAATACAAAAATGGAAACTGGATTTCAAGTCATCTGTAAAGGATTAAAGTCAACCTTTAACACATTAAAGCATATTAATCAAAGTTATTGTCAACTAAAGGAAAAGCAAACAAAATGTTTAGGAGAGACTATTAAAGTTTGCTCTACTGCTGAAGACGCATGCTTGCTTTACAGTGGCCCATGTTGAACATGTGACACTAATCTGAAGATTATATTTTAGATAAGTGATATAAGTGTCCTTCATATTTTTGTTACATTTGAATTATGAGTGTCCGTTCCTAACTCTCAAATATTATATGTGAATGTATGGATAAGGTCATTAAGAGCTTTGATTTGCATCTAACAATCTCAAACTCATTCTGTAATTTTTCCATAAAAATTATCAAGTATTTTACAATATAGAATAATGTATTGAGTTTCTAAATAAGCAGTAAGAAAAAACGATAAATTTTCAGAGTTTCTATGCTTTTCTACATGGATAAAAGTACACAGGGGTAACATATACTGAAGTCATTGCATGCTTGTAATAGACAAAACACATATTGACCATTCATTGTCTTTGATTTTGCCATTGTAGGCCCTCAATTTTCACATTGAAAACTTTGAAATGATTTTCATTTATGACGTTGTAACCACAAGACTCGTTTGTCTGTATAAACCATTTGTTGTTAATGTAAAATTTCTACCACTACAATCCAATACAATGTGATGCTTTAATTTATTGTGACAATACAATATTTGAGAATTGGAATTCTTTTCAGTAGTGATAACTTTATTTGGAATTGTTGTTGCTTCATTATTATTATTCCCATTGCATTGGAACAACGTTTTTATTGCAAAACCACCTTTTAAAACACTTTCAATGATATTTCCATTTGATATAATTGGTTTAAAGATTATTTCTCTTGTTGAAGGACAATTTTCTACTTACTAGAGATAAACTGATGAGACAGATACACAAATTGAGAAGAGTTCATTGTTCAACATTGCTTTACACTTAAGATAAGTGTTTGTTTCTCAATTATCTCTCTCTCATTGCTCAAAAATATTTTATAGATATTAGCTATTATCTTTGTTGTTTATTCTGTTTCAAAAATAAAAACTGTTTGATCTGTAAAATCAAATGTTTGAGCTACTTATTGTTCTTCCAGGACCCTGTCTATATTTTAGATATACATAATCAACCAATTTTCTTTTGTCTATATTTAATCTCTTTCATTAATCCTGACTATTAGATGAAATTAAAAGAAGCTGTTTGTGTAGAAGTGGATTTCTCTCTTTACTTTTCATGTGACAGTTTTGATAAGAGTCAACAGCAAAACATATTTTTTAAAATGGTAGTAAAAAAGGAAATGATTTACTAGTTCATAATGGCTCTGATCTGACAAATGACTTTGTTCTGTATGTTTATGAATGTCAAAATCCCATTTGAAAATTGTATTAAATGAAGAATGGAACAATGTGATCTACAACAAGATAATATAATTGCAGAAAAATGTTATTGTAAACAGTGCTCTGGAGAATTATCAAATGCCATTTCAGTATGATTTACATGATGAACAGAAGATTTCATTCAATTGTAATAACAAATTCAAGTAAAATATGCAAAATGGCGATATGTCTATGATTTTACTTGATATTAAGTCAAACTAACACTTGAGATCATGACTCCAGATCATCCATTCTCATGACATGATAAACACTCACACACTAACCCTGACATACATACACACTGATACACAACATAGAAACATAGCAGAATCTCTGTTTGAAATAAATACACACTAAAATATGTTTTTATGCCAACATTCCTAGAGTATTCAATTTAAAAGTGTAAAGTGATAGGCCTTTTACCAGAAATTTAATCTATTTTATTATTTATATAATTTACTTAATAAAAATATCAAAAAATGTGAAAAAAATATATTTGTGTCTGATTGTTTTTAGTTTTTAGTTTATAAAAATTTGAAATGAATTTGAAACAATTCGTTTTAATGTTATTCACAGAATTTGAAATATTTAAATCGAGTTTAGAAATAAGTGAAAATTTCTCACTGAAAATTTTACATGATTATGAAAGCTATATAATTGGAAAGGTGTTTGTTTACTTTCCAGAAAATACATTAAATTTACCACTTCGTTATGAAAATTGTAAATTTAAGGCCTATGATAAATTTTGTTCAATTCTTAAATATGACAAAATCTATAATGAACCAATGATCTGTCCAGGAGACAATGGTTTGTATTGATTAACTTTTCTAAAATTTGATTCTAGTAGTAATTGTTCTCAAACAAAAGGTTCAATTGTAATGGATTATTCTAGTATTAAAGTTACTTGGAAATGCTGTACTTTGTAAGTGTTAGCACAATAGATAAATCAGAAAATGTCTACTCATTCATTTATTTCAATTACTAAAGTGAAAGCAATAGAAATAACACCAAAGAACTTATATTTACAACTTGTTTAAAATGTTTTAAAACTACTACACCTTGTTAGTGGATTATTTCTTAGCAATTCAATAAAATATTCAATTACCAGTTTTCTTTTCATTTAAATTAGATATCTATCTTCAAGTACAAAGTAGACAAGACCAAGTAATTGCACTATTAAGAAAAAATGCTGAAAGTTTTTCTATCGTCTATAAAAATAATTGGAGAAATATTTGTAATATCGCTCAGTATTTAAAATTTGAAAAAGTTTTTAGAATTTATAAACCTATTGAAATTACCTCAATTCGCCAAACAATTCCTATATCTAAAGAGTTCAATTTCATTAAATTTGAGGCTGTTGTTTGTAAAATTGGCAAAATTATTAGTATGCTTTTTTTCAATAGATTTGATGAAATCGTTCATGAAATTGGTGTACTTTTTTATAAACACCAATCTAATGGCCGCTTTCAATCAAATTCATTTCAATAGAAAGAAAATTGCAATAAAAAACAAAAACAGATAAGAAAAAAAATTTACTAATTTATTTATCAAATGGAGAAATAATGTCGAATTTTTTACCAGTTTATTTAATTACTGATGATTTAGCACTTTTTGAAAAATATCCAAAAATCCTTCCAATAGATGTTTGTCGACAAAGAAATATGATGGCAGAGACGGAATATTCATATTTGACGAATTATGTTCAAATAAAGGTTTCCATAACTAAATGATAACTATCAATCATCTTTACATTCTTTATCAGGATAATGAATATTTCAACTCATTTGAATATTGTGCATCATACAATTTAGTACATTCTTATGAAGTTTTTGAAAATTTTACAAATTTACCATTCTTTTCATTCTGTTCAAGAAATCAATGTACAATTAAAAATGTAAAAAGGCAAATGTATTTTTTTAACGTTCGTTGCGAAGAAATCAAAAATTTTACAAGTTTTTTAAAAATTTTTTTTGCTTTATGTTATTTTTTATATTAGGTTTTTGTATTTTAAAAAAAATATAGATAATCAACTTCGAATTTCATCAGAAAACAAACAATACTGGTATAAAGGTGACAAACTATTTGGTGAAATCAATGGATTTTTACAAACTTTTCAAAATACAAAATGGCGGTCAGTAAATTTATTATCAATTCAAAGTTTTGAATTGGATTTTGTATGTCAATACTTTGGATATTCTACTGGAACAATAATAATTAGTAATCGAGTATCGTATTCAAGAAGCCGCATTGATTCTTCGTTCGATATTCAATGTCCAACAGATGGAAAATCAATTGAAAACTGTGATATAACAGATGGAAAATATACACATTTAAATAATTTGTAATAATAGATTTGTTATCTAACATATTTCTATGAATAAATTAAAAAAACAATTTTTAATAGACCTAATAAAGAAGCTGCTCATTTCCAAGAAACTTTAAATATTCAATGTACAAATAAGATGAAAACTGGTAAACTTTTTTTTGTGTTTTAATTTTCAATTGTTGACATATATTTAATAATACATTTTTTGTAGTTTGTTTACAGAAGGCAAACTATACAATTTTGAATAATTGTTATTATATTTTTAATCAAAATAAAAAGTACTCAATACAGGAAATGAGTGAAAAATGTAAAGAG